TTTAGCTTAGTTATTATAAACTAATAATTAATTAATATTACTAAATACTAAATTACTATAAGTATAATTAAAGTCTTTAATATTACTTATATAATTACTTTAACTAGCTCTAATATTACTAGTATTACTTTTTTCTTCTTCTAATAATAAGATACTTGAATTTAAATTCTTATATATAAAAAGCTTAATAATTTTAATAATAATTTAATAATATAGTTAAATACTAAGCTTTTAACTAAGTACTAAACTAGAAATAGTACTAAGCTTTAAGCTAAGATCTCGAGATACTAATAATCTCTAATTTATAAAAAAGTAATAAGGTATTAAACTTTTAGACTTTAAAATATTTTTAGAACTTTAAATATTTAAATTTAGAAAGATTATAAAGGAATTAATAAGTATTATATAAAGCAAAAAGATTAAAGATATATTTAATAGTAAATAATAAATACTAGAGGCCTTTTTTTTTACTTAGGCCTTACTTTTTATAATATGAAATATTAATAATAAATAAATAACTACTTATATTAAGAAATATTTTATATTTATTTTTAATACTATTAAGATAATAAAGAGTACTTAACTTTATATCTCTTAAAGAAAGGCTACTAGTTAAATAAATAAGTAATAAATAAAGCTTCTTAAACTTAAATAAGTCTTCTAAATATAAAGCTATTTGCTTTTTATTTAAAACTAATTTAAAGTCTTTAAAATATAAAAAAAACACTTTAATAATAAGTTATCTTTAAAGATCTTATCTTAAATAAAGGAATTATTAGTAGCTAAACTAGAGCTAAAGTTTCTAAAATATTTATAAGAAGTTATAATATTATAGTTCTTATATTTAGAAAACTTTTTAAAAGTAATATTATTATATTTTAACTTCGAAATATTAAGTAATAGCTTATTTACTAATAAATTAAATATAGTAAAAATTAAATTACTAAATAAAACTTGTAAATTATTAATATTTATTATAACTTTATTATAAGAAACTATTTCTTTTAAAATAGAACTAATACTAAGAAAATTTATAGTACTAATTTCCTTATTAACTCGAAAATAGTAACTTTAATATAATAAAATCTTGCTTAAAGTAATATATATAATATTAGTAAGAGTAGTATTTATAAATAAATAAAGAACTATTATTAATTCTCGATTAGGATTTATTAAAAGTTTTCAAAAAATAGATTTAATTATAATAAGTTAATTATTATATATAAATCAAGAATAATATTAGCTTAAATCTAAAGTATTTTATATAAAATAATCCTTAGCTTATATATTTATACTAGTAAAGAAATAACTAATAGAACTATTAAAAATATTTAAATCTAAATATTAACTAAAAAGTATTATTAATAAATTAATAAAATATTCTTTAATCTTAATATTTATTAGATCTTTAGATTTATTTATTAACTTAATTTACTTTAAAATTTGATTTATTAAACTATCTTTCTTAATATTATAATTACTTAAGCTAATACTTAAGGTTTTGTTCGAATTATTATTATTTAAACTAAAATCTAAAATATTATTTTCTGAACTAAAACTACTAGTACTAGCTTACTTATCTAATTCCTTATCTGAATTCTTATTTCCTTACAAGTTTAAAAGATTATTAATTTGACTTTTATATAGCTTAGAATTAAAAAGAGCTTTTTTCTTTTTTAAGCTTTTATTTATAGACTTTAAATAATTATATTCTTTTAATTTTTTTTCTTTTTATTTTAATAATTCTTTTAATAATCTAGTTATTTTAGAATTTTTCTTAAAATAAAAAGAATTAAAACTAAAAGTACTAAAAAATATAAAGTACTTTATTCGAAATATACTATTTAATAAAGGCTTAAAAGATTTATTTCGAATCTTAGTAGCCTTAAAACTATTAAGGATATTAAGATAACTTTTATTAAAAAAGATAATCTTTTCTAAAGCTAAATAAAGTATATAATATAGCTAAATCCTTTATATTATATTTATTAATATATTTAATATAATAAGTCTTTATTCTTATTTAAAATAAAGCTATTTAGCTTACTTAAATATTTTTCTTTTTTTTAACTAAAAGAAAATAGAAAAGCTATTTTAGCTTTTTCTAAAGTATTCGAAATATAATTACTAGCTATATTCTCGATTTCTGGTAAAAATAAGCTAGATGAACTAGATTTAAGAAAGCTAGAATTAATTTTAATTTCTTTCTCTTTTAATTTAATCTCAAAAAAAAATCAAATTAATTCTAAAGATTATTCTTTTATAATTATATAATAAGAATTTAAATTAAAAGTACTATACTCTTATATTCTATAGTATTAAATATTTTATTATAATTTAAAAAGAGAATTATAAGCTAAATATTTATAAAAAGACTTGATTTCAAGCTCTTAAAATCTAAAAAAGCCATTTATATTAGTTTGAAATTTAATAATTAGTTCTAAACTCTTAGAAATAAGCTTAATTTCTAAACTTAAAAAAGTAATTATTAAACTAATAGCTTTATTAGCTTTTGCTTTTCCTTTATAATTAGAAAGATATTTTAAAATTTAGCCTTTAATATAATTAGATAAAATTATATATTTATAATTAGAATAAAAGATAAGCTTGAAATTAATATAATAAATATAATAACTTAAATTAAGTTTACTAAAAAATAAAGAATAAGACTTAAAACTAGTATATTCTATAAAATTTAAAGATTTGCAAGAATAAATAAAAGCTAAAAAAGATATTATAAAAATCAAAAATTAAAAGCAAGGTAAAATTAAATATAAAAATATAATAAATTAAAATTAAAAGCAAGCAAAAATCAAATACTAAATAAGCTAAAACCAAGTATAAAACAAGCTAAAACTAAATATAAAAATAAACTAAATTCAAGTATAAAAATATAATAAACTAAAATTAAAAGTAAACTAAATTCAAATATAAAACAAGCTAAATTCAAATATAAAAATATAATAATCTAAAATTAAAAGCAAACTAAAATCAAGTATAAAAGTAAGCTAAAATCAAATATAAAAGTAAGGTAAAATCAAGTATAAAAAGTAAGCTAAAATCAAATATAAATAAGAAATATTTTAAAGCAGATTTATTTTTATTTTTAAAACTTTTTATAAACTAATAAAAAGCTTATTTAAAGTAAGATAAGAGGTAATATAATACTTTTAGCTTAAGAAACTAGTTAAGAATAAAAAGAAAAAGGAATTATAAGATTAAATATAAGTTATAAGAATTAAGAATATATTATAAGAGTTAGATAATAGAAAAAATAAATATTCTAAAGAATAAAAGAAAGTTTAGAGTAATTAGAAGCTTTTTATTTATATTACTAGAATAACTTATTATTATAGCTATATAATTTTAGCCTTAATTTTAAGATTAATTATATATTAAGACTTGTACTAAAGCCCCTATATCTTTATAAATTTAGTATATATTAGTAATATAGTTAAAAATTATTAATATAGTTATTTTTTCGAAATACTAATTTTCGGAATTTTAGTAAAAATTAAAGAAAAATATTTTATAGTTTATATAAAGTTTATATTATAATTAATAAATCAAATTCTCTTAATTTTATATAGTATATATATATATTAAAAAATAATAGAAAAATTCCATATTTTATCTTATTAGTAACTCCCTAAAATACTACTATTTTAAGAAATTAATTAATTATAGAATAACTATATCTTTACTAATATATCTAATAATTATTTCTTATCTATTAGTATTTAATCTAACTATATTACTAAAGCCATTATTATAAAATAAAGGAGAATTAGATAGTAGCCTAATAAAACCAAGTTCCCTAGCTAGCTATTTCACTTATATATTACTAAACTTACTAATTTATTTCTCTTTATATTTAGGAGAAGCTAGCCTAAAATCCATCTTATTTATATAAAAGAGCTCTATTCTATAATTAATTTTCCTTTATTTCCTCTATTTCTCTATTAACTTTTAGTAATAAGCCTTAAAACTAGTTTTACTATAATTAATAAATAATAGTTTCTTTCTATAGCCAAAAGACTCTCCTAAATTATATAGAGCTTTTTTCCTATAAATATATTTTCTATATAGAAGCTTACTAGTAATATACTTTATAATATATATATTAGTTTCTCTAATTTAGTAATTTAGATAGGTATTATTATCTATCTTATTCGTAATAAAAAGGAACTCTCTATAATAAGTAATTTAATATACTATTAAGCCCTTGAAAATTATTTCATATTTTTATATATACTTTTTACTATCTTTATTAAGCTTATTATATTATTTCTGAAATATTACCTTTTCTCTTATAAGCTCTCTTTCTATAATTAGCCCTGCCCTAAATAGTTTAGGCTTAGTTAACTTCTAGTATATTATCTAGAATCTCTAAAAACTAGAGATAAAAGTATATTTCTTATTATTTTTTATAAAAATAAAATAGTTATTAAGATATTAATTTATATATATATTATATACTATATAATTTATAGATATAGAAGGGTTCTAAAAGAATTTCAATATTAGAGGGGTTTATAGAAATAAAATCTCGATTTACTTATCTGCTATAAAATTAGCCTATATTACTATATAAATCTATAGCTAATTAATAAATCTTCTTTTAGTTAGAATTAAGCTAGCTTCTCGTATATATACTATATTATTTCCCGCTCTAAAAGGCCCGCTTTAGTAAAAGTACTAATAATTGTCCTATACTTAAATATTCTCTCCTATATTATCTAGTATATTACTAGAAAATCAAGCTTAATATAAATAATATTACTATACTAGATTTTATTATAAATACTAATTTAATACTAGTACTTAAGAGATTAAAAGAGGCTAATATCAAGTAATTAAAAGAGATATATACTATATAATAGTAGTTAAAAAGAGATAATTTTATAAGACAAATAGTAATATAGGAATTTATTTAAAGTATAGAAGCTATAACTATTAAAAATTAATATCCTCTACTTACTCTATATATATTTATATATCTAATTATAAAAGTACTTAATATATTTCAGGCTTAGAATATTATTTATATATCTAGTAGAGCTTATAGCAAATACTAATTTAGTATTAAGGTTATTATTAAAATATTTCTCTAATAGAATCTCTCTCTTTAAAATAAGAAATAATATAATTACTTTATTACTAGCGAATATAGTTTCGATTATAGTAAGTAATTCTCGATTATTGGGATCTACTAAGTAAATAGCTTTTATATTAAGATATATAATAACGATTTTTCTATTTAAAATACTAATATAAAAGCCAGTTTTATTTATATTCTATATATTTTTAAAGCAAATTCTATACTTCTCTAATACCCCGTAATATTCCTAAAAATGCTCTTTTAGATTCTTCTTTTAATATACTACCTTTCTCTCTTATACTAGTATCTTTATATAAAGTATTTTAAACTATAATTTATTTCGCTTGAACTATTATTATATTTATAGGCGGTTTACTTAATAGGTAGAAGTATTATCCCTAAGAATTTTATTAGCCGCTGCCCAAACCGTCTTAAGATTAGCTCTATAGCCTAAATAGATCAGGAAATTAATAAATTACTTAAGGGCCTCCTCCTAATTAGAAGTAAGTGTCTTGTTATAGCCCTCTTTAGTATTTTATAGTTTTTATTTAGCCAAACGCGCTTTCTAAAGTCGATATTTTACCCTGAATTAATATATAATTGCGGACTTTTTAATATATGAGTTTCTAATATAGAAATCGGAGGCCTGGGCTATTCTTTTCTTTTCTTCTAAGTTAAATTTGGCTATAGTATTAATATTTAATTAATTAAAAGGGTTTAGTATTCCGAAAAAACGACTATATTAATAATTTTCGACTATATTACTAATATATACTAAACCCGCAGGGATATAGGGGCTTTAGTATAAGTCTTAATATATAATTAAAAAAACTTTACTTTTTAGCTTTAGTTATAAATATCTTTCTTTACTTTAATATAATTAGGCCTTATTAACTTAGATTTCTTAGCTAATATATATATATATATTTAATATTATATATAGTTTAATTTTATAATTAATTACTTATTAATTTATTTATTATTATATATTTTACTTAAAGAACTAGCTATATTTATAAGTTCGATTATATATAATACTAGCTAAGCTTATTAAAGGAAAGCGGCCTAAAAGAAAACTAATTAAGTAAATAGCCTTAGAATAGAATTTTATTTAAAAAAGATAAGTTATTTAATAAGCTTATAAAGAATATATAAGTTAGAGGAGTTAGATTACTCTTATATACTATATAATATAGGCTATTAAGTAAGCTACTTTTTATAAGAATTAGATTAGTTATTAATTTTTAATTAATTTTAAAAGAATTAAAAAATATAAGATTCTAAGTTATTTAATTAAAAATAAAATTTAAATAGCAAATTTAATTATAATAAAATAAAATTAAGATATATAAAATACAAGATTTCGAAAAATAATATTTTTATATAAGCTAAATTAATAATAATATAGAATTAAGAGAAAAGTTTTTATATTATATAAAAATTTATAATATTAATAGAAATATTAATAAAAGATAAAAAATTTAATTTTTTAAAAAAGAAATAAAATAAAAATCCGTTATTAAATTAATAAAATAAATAAATAAATAAACTATATATAATTAAAGAACTAAAACAAATATTATTTTTATATATTTATTAGATTACTAATAAAATAATATAAAAATAATATTTATTTTAGTTTTTCTAATTATATATAGATTTTTATTTTATTTCTTTTTTAAAAAATTAAATTTTTTATCTTTTATTAATATTTCTATTAATATTATAAATTTTTATATAATATAAAAACTTTTCTCTTAATTCTATATTATTATTAATTTAGCTTATATAAAAATATTATTTTTCGAAATCTTGTATTTTATATATTTTAATTCTATATTATTATTAATTTAGCTTATATAAAAATATTATTTTTTCGAAATATTATATTTTATATATTTTATTTTTATTTTATTATAATTAAATTTACTATTTAAATTTTACTTTTAATTAAATAACTTAAAATCTTATATTTTTTTAATTCTTTTAAAATTAATTAAAAATTAATAACTAATTTAATTCTTATAAAAAGAGGCTTGCTTAATAGCCTATATTATATAATATATAAAAGTAATCTAATTCTTCTAACTTATATATTTTTTATAAGCTTATTAAATAACTTATTTTTTTTTAAATAGAATTCTATTTTAAGACCGCTTATTTAATTAGCTTTTCTTTAGGCTGCTTTCTTTTAGTAAGCTCGGCTAGTATTATATATAATCGGGCCTTATAAGTATAGCTAGTTTCCTTAGTAAAATTCGAGAATTTAGAAATTCTTACTTTAAATCTATATAATTTTAGAATATAACTATTAAATTTAAAAAGAAAAACAGGATTTAAAGCCTCTATTAAATCTATATAACTTCTTCGTACTATTTTTCTTAATAAAGAACTAATACTAAAAATCAGAGTTATATATTATTCGGGTATTAAAAATCGACTTTTTAGTATATTTTAATAATAATTCTACTAAGACTTATATTTACTTTAATACTATATAACTTTATAATACCTTAACTAAATCTTAAAAAAAGAATAAAGTCTAATACCCCTACTATTTTTCTATTAATTCCCCTTACTAGCTTTTTTAATAAAGTACTATTATAAAAGAATAGAATTATATATTATTCGGGTCTTAAAATCGTACTAGCGGCTGCATTTATAGCCTATACGAGAATTAGTATATAATTTATATACTAGTATAAAATTATTCGGAATATTTATTAGATATATTTATTTATAATAAATATTATAGTTTTTTTTTATTTAAAAAAATAAAATATAAGTCCAATTCTCAGATATTTTAGTTTTAGTTAGGCTTAGTAATAATCCTAAAACGATTTATATTATTCCTAAATAAGATTATATTTTAGGCCTTAAATTATTTATAATTATAAGAAACTTATAATATATTTCTATTTAGATTTATAAATAACTTTATAATTACTAATTATATAAAAAAACTTTTAGTTATATAATTATTCTATTTAATTCTTACTTTCTATTTATATTATATATAAGAAATTTAGATTTAAACTTATTTTAATATAGTAAAACGAAGTATTTTAAGTTTTTATAAAACTTATTTAATTAGGAAATACCTTTTATATAAATTTATTATATAAGATACTTTATTCTAAATTATTTTAACTATTTTAGAATTATTATTAAGCCTAGTTTCGGCTAATTATAAACTATATATTAATTTCTTTTCTAACTAGTAGTATTAATATTTTAATAATAAAAATTAATAAAATAAGAAAATTGTTTTTATTTTAATTTTTCTTATATAAAAATTAACTAATTTTAATTTTAAAATATTAAAACTAATATAAATCTTCTAATTCTAAAGGAAATTATTTAGATAGAATATTCTTTTATTTAATTAGAATTAAGTATTAATTCTATTTAGTATTTCTATAATAGTTTTAAAGCCAAAAAAATTAGTTTTAAAAAATAATAGAAGTTAAATTAATAAATAATTAAATAGCTAATCATTTATTAATTAATAAAAGCTAAATATCTTTTTTATAAGCTATTAAATACTTTTAGAACTAATTTAAAAAAAAATCTAATTTATATATATAAACTAATTAGTATTAATTTAGTAGTAAGATATAATACTATTATATAATATATATAAAATATTACTATATTAAAATTAGTAAAGTAATTAATATTTAAAAATAAGAATTATAATATTATAATATTAATATATAATTCCTAAATTTATTAAATTTAATAAAAACTAGATACTAGTCGAGTTATTTATAAAATATAAGATTATATAATTATATTAATAATTAATACTTAATTTTATAATTTATATATATATATTTATTTATTTTCTAAAAATGGTTTTTAGAAGTATTATAAATTAAATTATTTATAAAGTTTTTTTCAAAAAAAAGATTATTAAATTAAAAATTAATTTATAAAATTATTATTTAAGATTAATTATAAAATATATAATAATAAAATATTATATAAAGTATAAAAGTATAATTAATTTCAAGAACTAGTTTCTATTAAAAAAACCAATTAATTCCTATTTTCTAAGCTTATATATCTTTATATATATTAATTAGTATTTTACTAAATATATAGAAATACTAGTTCTAATTAGGAAATATAATTTTATATAAGTATTACCTTAATTAGACTACTAAATTTAGCTAAATATTTATTATTAATATAAATATAATATATAGTACTTTTTCCTTATATTTTATATTTACTTTAATTTATATCTATTAATTTAATTACTTATTCTTCTTTCCCTAAAATAGAACTTTATATATATATTTCCCTCTATAATACTCTTATAATAGTAGCTATATAACCAAATAACGGTTGCTAGAAGTTTCAAGACTATTATCTACTATTAATAACGATAATCATAACGCCTTCGAGCGAGCGACTAATTAATAGCTTCTACAATATCCTCTAACTTTGAGAGCACCTCCCGGACAAGTACGGCCGGCTGGACGTCTTCGTCGTCGTCGAGGCTCAAGCACCACTGGACGATTTCCCGATACCGCTTCCCCATAGTGATTCCAAGTTCCTGGGCAATCTTGATGAGAGCTTTCTGCATCCCGTTGGGGTCTGCCGCACTGAGCTCCCCATCAAACCGCTCCAGCGGTCGCCACAAGCCGAGCTCCAAAAGAACGACGCCGAGACTGTAGATGTCGTAGGACTTAATGAAGCTCCGCGGTCGGGGGCCTTGCCTGGCGGGATGGATGTATATTCTGGCCTTCCAGTCACTTGGGGGTTCCATTGGGTGGCTCGCGAGGGCAAACGAGCGGATCAGCTCAAAGTTCACCAGGTAAGGCATGCCGAGAGCGTTGGGGAACTTGAGACTCGAATCATTCTGGGCGTTGAATAGCATGATAACGCTCTCGGACGAGATGTTCTTGTGCAGGTAGTCAGAGCCGTGCAGGAAGAGCACCGCCGTCGACAAGTGCAATGCAAGTCGATAGCGTTGGTCTAGAGAGTGTAGCGGCGGAATCCTCCTGGACCCCGATTGTGCGGCAATGAGGCTCCTGAGCGTGGGTGCCGTCGCCGGAGATGGTGGGAATGGCAGACTATGAATCAGGTTGAATGATGGCCGTTCCGGGTCTGGGTTGTAAAAGTACCCAACGCATTTTAAAAGGCTGACTACGCCACGATCGATGGCATTGAGTGAGGACGCGAACCTGCCGACATCTGCCTTCAGAAGGCGATAGTCAAGCGACTCGGGGCCGGAGTCGCTGGCCAGGGCGAAATATCTGGATTCTAGGATGACTTGCTCGCCCTTGAACTCCAAAATGGAATACTCAGAGCCTGTTCGAAGGTGCGTCTTGCATAGGGTCTTGGGGGCGTTTTCCAAGAACAGGTCGCGGGACTCTGCCAGCCGCGCCTCTTCGGCAAGTGCCTGGACCCTGTGCATTCGTCGATTGGAGTAAAGAGCCTTGCCGGGAACAGCGTCGTCTTGTTCTTCGCCGATTGGAGAGATGATGGTCTTCAGCTCAGGGGGCAGACCGACGAGCCGGATGTCGAAACGCGAGGTCCACTCGAACAGCTCTTGCTCCAGGCTCTGCAGTTCTTTGCGGCGGTGAAACCACAGAACCTTGCTCGTGGCGCGGGAAAGCCATTCCTGTGTCTGAATGCGGGCGCAGCTGGCGCTGACACGCGCCGCGAGAGATTGCAAATACTCAGCGGTCTCCTGGAGCAGTTTCTGGTCGGGCTCTGTGAGCTTCCCCTGGTTTTGCAGCCGCCGGCTGTCGAAATGCTGGACAATTTGTTGTAGCACGCGAATGTCCCATTTGAAGCGAGCAGCGAGTGATCTGGCCTCGTTGGAGTAGGCAGAATAGGCGTCGAGGAAATGGTAGATCAGCTCCCCGGACGTGACAATTGTCTGGAAGATATCCATGAGCCAAACCTATGGAGGATTGCAGTGGACCACCGCCTCGGGCTCCCCCTCTGGTTTAAATAGACAGATAGACCATTTTGGCTGCGTGGCTATGCTGGTTCACTTAGCGGTCAAGATCGGATCGAACCAATACGTTTTATCGACGCCACAGTGCCTCAGCGGCCGAGCGACGAGACAAGCGCTTCGCCATGTAACTTAAGAAGTAGGCGAGGGCTCTTTTTCAATTTGCAACACCACGATCCACGCAGAGCTCTATCGGTGCCGGGATGACGACGCTCGAAGACGAGATCAAGGGCCGGCTTGCCGGCGAGTCGCCCTTGTCCTTGTCGGGCTCCTTCGACTTTGGACGATGGAGCCAGCATTCGCAGGTAGCGAGCGAGCAGCTAATCAAGACCCCTAACAATTCTACTGAGCTGGAGAAGCCAAGTTGCGTCCCTCAGGTTCTTATACAGTCCATCTTTCTCGGCGCGTACATTGCCGACAGCGATGGCCTGCAGCCCGGGCCGCAGATCGGAGTAGGAAGTTCCATGGTTGTTCGCGAGGGCTGTCTTGACGGAGAGAAAGTGGCTATCAAGAAGTGCAAGCCGCAGAGAACGGGCGGAGATGGCAAGCGGAGAAGCCTGAAGGCTTTAAGTCTTGAGCTTCGCGTACTACTCAGCGATTTCATCAAACCTCATCCTAACATTGTCGACCTCCTCGCTGTCTCCTGGGTCGAAGAGACACAGCCGAACGGAGAATCGGAGCTCTTTCCTCTCCTTGTCATGGAGCTTGCCCTCCCACAAGCAAGGACACTGCATGACCTTATCCCGATTATCGATCCTCTCGACTTCAGGCTCAAGGGCTTTCTGATATCTGACATCCTCAGCGGCTTGGACGCCATACACCTTGACCGCTTCATCCATGGTGATTTGAAGCCGGAGAACGTTCTCATATTTCGCAAGAGCCCTGGGGATAGGTATACAGCGAAGCTTGCTGATTTTGGCTTCTCAGATGACGTCGAGCAGTTGCCTTTCGGAGTCGAGGGTAATCCGGCTGGAGGAACAGACTATTGGAACGCGCCGGAATGCTTTGATCCAAATGCCGACTTTAGAACTTGCCGCCAGCCTTCTCGGGATCTCTACTCTTTTGGTCTCGTTGCTTGGTATATCGTGGCTTCACGATTGCCGTTTGGTCCTGATCGCGGTTCTGACTGGGCTGGAGCGTACGAGACTGTCACTGCGACAAAGATACTAGATGGAGCTGCTTCTCAGGCATCTGAGTTCTTCTGTGCTGCCTCTAGGCGTCTTGGCCTAGATCTGAGAGCCGGTTGGGGAGAGGCATTGCACCAATATCTTGATGCTTCTGATGATATGCAGCTGGATAACCTATGCAACCCAAATGTCTCCGTCGGCGTTGTGGATGAGCTATTATGGAGGCAGCATGTAAGGATACATATATCTTTCTCTTCGATCGTTGACGAACATGTTTCGTGGCAACGAGGGTCTAAGGCTCTCTAATTTGCTAATCAAAATGCCAGGCATCTTGGTTACTCGATGAGAGGCCCGCCAGAGGGTATCTTCCTTACGCTGTCACACTTCTGCCTCGCATTCTTGACAAGGATCCAGCTAAAAGAGGGCGCACACAAGAGTGGTTCCAGTTGCTCTGGTGAGTCTCACACATCGGAATTTCCGAGTTATTTAGCCATTTCATCCCCCAAACAATCTAGCAAACATTTCTCACCGAGTTTTATACGCTAAAATTAGTCGCTAGGATTGATCCTCATCGAAGCAGTGCCACAAAGGGCACCTGGAGAGATATTTCATCGTCTTGGCAGCGAACAAAGTGGATGGGCATAAACGCATGTCCCTTATTTCTATCGTGTCACCTGCACAACTAACTTTCCCACAGAAACGCCATGCCGCTCCAGGATATACTGCCAACCGCGTGTTCGGCCAGTTGCCACCAACTATGGTGGCAGCTTTGAGGCGTAGCATTGTTTCGGAGATGAAGAAATCCAAGATGCCCCTTTTGGAATCAACTCTTCGGTCGCTTGATCTTTATTCTTCCGGGTATCCGTCGGCAGAAGCTCCGTCGATGGCTCCTGTCCTTTTGGAAGTGATGAAGTCATGGGCGGCACAACCGATTGATGACCCCGAAACCATCAGCATCCGTTCACAGGTCTTGGCAAGCATGCACTATGGCCACGGACGAGATCCGCCTACTGTTTTGACCCCGAAGGCTGAGTGTGAGGTGATTCTTTGCGGCCTCTGCCTCGATCTCTACGGATTTGAAAAATATTCTGGAAAGCATGCATTGAATGATAGCTTTCGTCAGCTTTTGGACGAGCTGGCGGGGATGTTCTTAAAAGAAGCTCGACTTAGGATTCTCAGGCTGTGGCACTCTGCCTACAGACTCGCGTTCGTGGCTCATGCAAGCCACTGGTCACGAAATGTTTTGCACTCACGGCCACCTTCCGATTCCCAGTACGACCTGGAGTGGAACAGGGTTGCTCAAGCCATCCGACGGGATGACTTGCGGGTCTTCAGACAACTCTTTGAGAAGAAGGCCTTGCCGGAAGAGATTAGCTTGGACACCGCAAAGGGGACACAGAACCTCATGTTGCTAGCTATCGAGCAGCATCTCCCCAATATCTTAGCGTATCTCATCGAGAAGGAGGCCGTTGATCTCAGCAAACCGCTCATCATCTGCGATAAGCCAATGTCGCCTGTCCAGCTTGCCTGTTACCAAGGCAATATGGACGCCGCGGCCACTCTGCTTACCCTAGGCGCAGACCCATGCTCGCTTTTCGAATTTGGGTTTGTAAGAGAGTGCGTCGACAGTGGAAACATGGGGTCCATAAGCATTCTTTTAAGGGTAAAAGCGTTCTACGCAGGGCCGGGATCGAAGCCGTCGCTGAAATATAGAGACATTCAGATATTTGACTTTAACAAGAAGGAATACGACACTGAGAAGGGTCCTAGGACCGCCTCACCTATCCTCATAGCTATTGCCCAGAATTCCTGGTCAACGTTCGCGGAGCTCATTAGCATTGGTATCGATATCAACTCACCATGCCTCAGTCAATACAAGCCACTGCAGGTGGCGGTGCAGTTCAGACGACCACTATTCGTGGCTGCGCTTCTCGACGCTGGCGCCGACCCAAATGTGCAATCGATGGGGACGACACCCTTGCACGATTTCGTCGAAGGGTTCAGCCCCACTGGTGGGGGAATGGGATGGCTCTACGGAGATGAGACCTGGGTTGAGTCGGAGGAGCAGAAGGCGGTCGACGCTGAACGGCATGATCAAATCATACTCGAACTGCTTCTTCGCCATCCCAAGACCAATTTGAATGCAAGAGATTTAGCTGGAAGGACGCCGTTTGCGGCAGCGATGGAGGCAGGCCAGACAGGCTGGGCTGAGAAGATTGTCCAGGCTGGTGGCAACCCAATGTTGACGAAGTTTGATGGCGACTCCCCGTTGCACACCCTAGCACTGCGAGGAATGGTGAAGGAGGCCAGGTGGTTGCTAGAGAGGTGGCCAGATATGGTCCATTGCCAGGACTACAGTAAGCGAACCCCGATTCACAACGCCATGGAGGCTGGTTGGGACGAAATGATCGAGCTCCTTCTGGAAACTGGCCATGATATAGCGTCGCAGGATAGTTTGGGATACACCATTCTGCATCGCACTTTGGTTCTTGGCCAGATCGACACCTTCAACACGATCTGGTCGAAGATCCAGAGAACCTGCAAGGGCAAACTCAAGAATATCTTGACCCTACAAGACATCTTTGGGCGGACGCTGGTGCATCTCCTTGCCGAGGTGTCGGTTATGCGGAAGGATGACTTCCAGCACTTCATTGGCTTCGTCGAGAATGAGATCCTCCCCTTGGTCAACCCGACAGAACACATCGACCACCGTTGCCTCACACCGCTACACTTTGCAGCTTTATCAACAGCCAGAGTGTGCCAAATGTTCATCGACGCCGGCTTCCGCATCGACGCTAAAGACTGTCACGGCGCACACCCCTTCTATCTCGCCAGCTCAGCAGGCAACGGCGCGACTCTGCCACTTCTCAGCCCCCCGGACAACTCTGCGCCTTCCATCGAAGGGACAAGTGACGATGACAAGAAAATATGGCGTCTTGTCACCATTCTTAACGACCATATCAACAGGGTCTCGCTGGCCCACGCCAAGAGAGCGGAACAGGCTATTTCAGAGCTGCGACAGGCCGAGTATGGGGTCATTGGAGCGGTCCTGGTCCAAGCCATTCAGGTCCAGAGGATGGGCCTCCTCACGCACGATGAGGTGCTCATGCCGCACTGTGTATTCTGCAATGCGCCGCTGGTCGAGGTCGAGGGGTTCGGATGCCCTCTCCTAGCCTGTGTCTTTTCGGCCGTTCAGCTGCCGGAGGAGCAGCCACAAAAGCCGAACTGGTTCGTCTCCACGGCCCGCAAATTGAATTTGAGGTTCTATAAAGGCGCCAAACCCAAGACGGGGCCAGGAGATTCGAGCAAGGTCGACGACAATGGCAAGGCCCGAGCTACTGTAGATGGTGAGCCACACAACGTGGAGACACACCTTGCAAAATCCGATGTTCTAGTTGAGAATATCGACAAGGTCCTCTCAGGCGTCTCCGAATTGTTGAAAGCCATCGTCACGGTGCCGAGCGAGCCAGTCAAGATCGAGAAGGTACAAGATGGGGGTAGAGCAGATAGGATATTTGCGCTACTCTCAAACCCGGATGGGATAAAACGGCGCGCCCTTATTATGTCTGGCGTGTGGGAGTCGGGTATCAGCGACGAGGCAGTTGAGCACCTGGTCGGTGGATCTGGTAAGATGGTGGCCTTTACGGCAAGCACAAACTATTTAGCTGAGTCCGAGCGCACGACGTGGATGGAGTACCATATACACAACCTTGATATCTAAAGCAATACTGAATCCTGTTTAGCCAAGCAAACTCTAGTATGGAATCAAGGTATCTTATTGAGAATTGATATGCGAGACGGACATCATGTTCCTCTTCTATCAGTGGAAAAGTGTTTCAATGGCTCGCCTATTTTGGATGATGCATCGCGAGAATCTTGTCGGAGCAGCACGGCAGCGAATTTCCCATAAGCAAGAGATCACTTTCAGCCAAAATAGTACCATATTGTCAGACCCCTTGGCATCAGATCTCGACCGCAGCTACGTCGAGAATAGAACTGATGTGAGGAAGTTGTCGTCGATTTGCTCAGCTGCTCCTCAATTGTGAGCTAGTACAATGCCGACATCCTCAACTAGAAGACCAAAATAATGCTTTGTATAGATGTTTAGGGCCCGTTTGGCCAGACACCTGTCCTTTACCTGCCCTGTAAACAGATTACAAGACAGGGCAGGCAAAATAATTACAGCCCCTGTACCGGAAAAAGGGGCAGGTGTCTGGCCGAACAAGCCCCTATTGCCCCCTTATTATATAAATATCCATTTTCCTGCCCATTGCTCTCTTCCTCATTATTACCATTAATATCCAATTCAAACAAACAACTACCCGTTCCACCATATTAATTCTTTTGCTGCTCATACTCGCAATCCAAAAAGCACTTATTTAAAATGAAATTCTTTAGCATTATTGCCGCCCCCATAATTGCCACTTAGGCTATTGCTGCCCCGGTGGCAGACCCGGCACCAGCGGTCGAGACAGCAGCCAAACAAGACCTGGTTAATTTCTGGCAGGATATATAAGTTCACTGTTTCATTGAGTTAATATTTAATGCCACTAATCTCATGGACTAATTCGAACGAAAGTGGTTTCTTGGATCTCAAGCGCACTAGTACTAGTACTATTGGGACTTGTATCAACCTCAGTAGTACCGGGTTCGAGGATAATATTACCTCTGCAAAGTCGAAGCCTGGATTTCATTATACTACTTGGGTATAAGTTTATTCTATCTAGGTACCTTAAAGATCTATATAGAGAAGTTTTAGATAGTAAGGAAATACTTACTAATTTTCTTTTACTAAATAGTAATACCAACTATAAAGGCACTGGCTTTAGCTTTAATACTAGCCCTGGAAGCAAGCAATTCCCTAACTAGATTAATAACAAGTCTAGTAGCTAAAAGTATATTATTAATAACTAAGGGATCTCTGGATCAAATTCGGTATTCGGGAGTTATATAATATAACTATATATAACTTAGCTAGTAGCTAGTACTTCTAGTTAGAAAGCCTTTAGATTAATATAAGCTTTTTACTACTATTATAAATCTTATCTTATTATAATAATTACTAGATTTTATTTATAATTCATATTTATAATTCCTTATATTACTTTAGAAAATCCCTTGCCTATTAGGCTATAATAGTAATTTCTTTTTCAAACCCAGTATATTAAAGAACTACTTATACTACTTATACTACTCATAAATATTTATAAGTAGCATAAGTAGAATATAAGTAGCGTAATGTCCTAAAAATTTGAGTAAAGTAAAGTATATACTTATAAATAGTATAAGTAGTTATAAGTAGCTACTATATAATAATAATAAATTAAGATTTATTTAATAATAATTAAATAATATAGGTATTTATTAAATAGCCCTAGTAAAGGTAAGTTAGGGCTTATATAAGACTAGCTAAATACTAATTTTTTATAATAATAAACTAATTATACTCTTTAGATCTTGATTTCCCCCGTCTTATTTACTAAGTAATACTACTACCTAATTAGGTAAAGATATAATACTAGAGCGGTACTAGACGGGAGGCTTACCTTATTAGGCTAGTCTGTTACGTGTATCTGTTACGTGGGTACCTACTCACATTACTTATACTATTTATAAGTAGCTTAAATAGAATATAAGTAAAGTATAAGTAGTATAATAATTAGTTAAATAGAGTATAAGTAGAACCTACTACTCTACTTTACTCTACTCATTTAATATACTATTTAAACCCGATAATTTTCTTATTTAAAACTTTATAAAAACGGTTAGTAATAATTCTATAATTAAGGAACTTATAAGAAAGAGAAAAGTAAAATTTATATACTAATATTATAAACTACCTATATTATAATCTATTATTTAGTTCTATTTCTTTTAATAATAATAAATTCCTTATAAACTTTTATATTATTATAATATAGGACTTTATATTTCCCTATATAGAAGAAAAGAAAATAAAGAAATAGATTAGATTAATCTAAAATAATTATAGAAATATATAATTCGGGAAAAATACTACTATATTTAAATTATCTATAATATATTATAATAATATAAAATAAAGATTACCTCCTATACTATTTCCTAAAATAGTAATTTTTCTAGTAAGAACTTATATTTTATTAGTTAAATATAAAAGCAAAATAATAGTATTTTATAACTAGACTAGAAATTAATTACCTGAATTTAAAATAAGGTAATATTATAGATAGAAAATATATATTACTAAAATCTATTATAGAAGAATTTTTATTATAAAGATATAGTTATTTTAATATTTATTTCTAATTATATAAGTCTCTGAAAAATATAATTAGCTAATTACTTAATAACTCGTCTAATATATAGCTATCTAGCTCTTTTATAATAAAGAAACTTATTATTATAAAAATAGAAAATAATATTTATTAATATATCTAGTAATAGCTATTTGGGATATTAAGTTCTACTAATAGTTATAGAATTAATTTCTTTATTCTTGGAAATAATACTAATATAATAATTATTCTTTATAGGCTATATCTTTATAAAGTAATTTCCTTTTTTATTAGGCTTTAGGTTTTCTAAAATCTTTATCTTAATATCTAATATATTCTTAAGAACTATTTATAGGATATAAATCCTAAAAGCTTATCTTATAGTAAAATAAGTACTTTCTATTAAAGAATACTTAATAAACCTAAAGTTATAATTCTTTATAAATAGATAAATATATATAAAGATTCTATTTCGAGCTTTAATAAATAAAAAATAATAAGAAATAGATTAGCTAAAATAGAAGATATAAGATATTAAATAAAATAGCTATAAATATCTAAAACTCTTTATCTAAATAAATCTTAATTTAGAAGGCAATAACTATTATATTATAATCTTACTTTTTTAGAAATAGAAAGCAAAAAGTAGCTATTACTAATTCTCTTCTATAATATAAGAATAGAAATAAAGGTTAGTATAAATAAAAACTATATATTTATAGAAAATAGAAATATAAAAGTAAGATTAACTAGTAATATATAAAAAAATTAATACTTGTAATTATCTCGAGGTTATTAAGAATTACTAGCTATTATATTTTATTAATTTATTTAACTTATAGCTAGAACTAGAATCTTTAAAGCTTTTTTAATTAGGAAAAATATATTTTTATATTTTATTTTATTTATAACTTTAGTTCTAAACTTTATTATTTCTATAAATTCAAATTTAGTTCTAGTAATAATAAATATTTAATAATCTATAATATTATATATTACTTTACTAATATTTCTAGAAATCTTTTTAGGAAAAATATTAACTTGAATTCTAATATTAATTATTTCTTTATATTTGATATTTTTTTGAGATCTTTAAAATATAAATTAGAAATATAAAAATTATATAATAATTTATAAATTAGTAATATTCGAATATTAATACTATTATTTTTAAATTAAATTATTCTATTAGTATTAGATATCTAAGCTAGTATTTCTAATTCCTTAAATATTCTATTTATTATATAAGCTATAGTTATTAGTTCTATATATTTTCTAATATATCTAATTATATTTAATATAATAGTATTTCTTGTTTATAAAATAGTAAAATAAAAAGTATTATTCTTAATTTATAAGTTCTAAAATATAATAATTAGATCTAGTATTTTTAAAGTATTAATAAATATTCTCGTTTTTTTTTAAGTTTTTTAAAATAAAATAATTACTTTTTTTTTAGTAATTATATTAGAATATTATTAATTTTAAAAACTCTATATTTATTATAATTAAAAATATATTAGATTTCTAATTCGTTTTATTTATTTCCGGAAGTATTAATATTTATATTTTTAGCTAGGCTATTTCTTTATTTATTATTTCTTAAAGTAATATTTTTTCTAATCTTTTATATAAAATAGCTTTTCTTTTATTCTAGCTTATTTTTAGAAAACTTTTATAGCTATTTCTATTTCTTTTTTCTTTTTCTTTAATAAGAAACTTATTATAATATTAATAGAAATACTATTTATAACTAAATCTTAATATTATTTATTAATTCTAGAACCTAAAGTATTAATAATTCTAATATAATTTCTTCTAAGACCAAATAGCTATTTAGATTCTCTATATATAATTTATTTACTTTTATATATAAATTCTAGTTAGCTAATTCCCTTTTCTTTTTTTATTTAGTAAACTAGATATTTTTTATTAATTTCTAGATATTTTTGAATTAAGTATTTAAGTTATAATTAAATTCTTTTTTTCGGATTTGGGAAATTATTTAATTAAACTACTAGTATTTACTAATAAAAAAAAAGAAATACTTTCTTATCTAGGCTTAAATAGCTCTTTATATTATTTTCTATTAAATTAGTAAATATATTTACGATTTATAAGCTCTTTTATTAGTAAATAATAGAATTAAAAAATATAAATATATTTTAGATTAATATTTTTATTTTTATTTCTATTATAATATTTATAGCAAATTTGTTTTCTTGGTTCTAGATCTATATTATTAACTATATTAATTTAAATAATATTTTCTAATTATATTTAAAACTAATTTCTTTTAAAATATAATTATCTAGATTCTTTATTTATTTTAGTTTAATTATTATAGCTATTATAGTATTTTCTATAACTTCTATTATAATTTCTAATATATTTTCTCTAAAAACTCGAATTATATTTGTTAGACTATTAATACTATTATATCTATTATAATTAATTAGATTATATAAATAAACTATAAATATTCTCTTATATTATAATAATAGCTATATTAAGTTATTTTTATAAGTTATTTTAAGTTATAATAGTAATAAATAGTTTTTCTAGACTTTTTATTAGCTAGTTAATATTATTTTCCTTAGATTTATTACTTTTAATAAGTTTTATATAATTAGTTATAGGCTGGATTCTTTTTTTACTTATATTTATAATAGCTTTAGAAAGTATAATAAAAGAAACTAATAAAGAATAATTATTTTCTGGCTTAAGAACTATATTATAAACTATTATATTTAAGTATTTTTATTTAAATCTATATATATCTAGATTATTAGTAATATTAAAATAGTATTTCTTTTCTTTATACTAATAAGATATTACTACTTTTTTATATATTTTATTATATTTATAAATAGAAATATTTATAAACTCAAAATTTATATTTTTAAAAGTATAATATTTTACTAAAATAAATAATTCTTTTATAAATTCTCGATACTAAATAATTTTATTTATTTCTTTTTTCTTTAATAACTTCTTTAATACTTTATTAAATATATTAATATAAGACTTAAAAGAAATTTCTTTATTCTGGACTTATATAATAATCTAATTAAAAAAGTTATAACTAATTTTAAGTATTTTCTAGTTATATTCTCGGAATTCCTTTAGTAAAGCCTTAAATATTATGAAACCGGGCTCTGGGCTTAGAAAGCAAATAGAGTAGCTCTTAATCCGAGGATTCTAAACTAACGAGCTTATATTCTATAAGTTTGTGAATTATAGAACATTTTACTAATAAATAACTACTAAAGAAATAATCGAAATTTTTGTGCAATGTAATAAATATTTAAATTAAATAGTAATAGTATTATTTAGCTTCTTTCCTATTAAGTATATTTAGTTTAAAGGAAAAGGAATATGTTATTATTTAATTAATTTTATATAAAGTAACTAACTTTATTTTTGCGAGGCCTAGAAAGCCTTATTTAAATACCTGTAATCTATAAACTTATAGGGTATAGGCTTGTAAGGAGAGAAGCTCTAAGTACAGGAGCTTTGGTATTCTAAATACTAGCTATAGCCGCATGCGTCATCGCGGTCACGTGACGCTAAATTTACTAGTAAAGCGGTAAATCGTAATATTAAAGAATTTAATTTCCTAGTAATTTTCTAAGTTATTAATATAGTATTCCGATATAGCCTTAATGTAATTCTTATAAATAGAAGAGATATAATAGACAATTCTCTTTCTTTTAATATTATTAGAAATATAATAGTTCTTATATATATCTATATATTATTTTAAAAATATAAAGATATTATTTTTCTAAAATTATAATATTTTAAAAGCTTTTATAAATAATAGGTTTAAACCCGGTATTAATATATATTTGTTTTTAGTAATACTAATTTTAATAATTTCTTCTATAATTAATTATAAAAAATTTATATTTAAAACTTCTATTAATAAGATTCCTAAAGAACTAATTTTCTATTTAAATATATCTTTTAATTTAGGAACCGGGATTTAGAAGAAATTAGTTAATAATAATAGATATAATTTAGATTCCAGTTTTAGTATTAATAATAATAAGATAATAGCTTTTCTAGTTTTATTTCTATTATTTATACTTTCTTTTCTATTTCTTTAGCTTAATACCTATAATATTTTCCTTTAATTTTACTAAACTAGATATATTTAATAATATTATTAAATATAATAATAAAAATAATAAATATAATTTTACTAATTTCTTTAACTTTTCCGAATTCTCTTTTTTATTTTTACTTAATATTCTTTTCTTTTTCTAGAAGCTTTTCTAAATTATTTATATAATTTCTTATTTTTAATTTCTTTTTAATTTTTATTTCTAATTCCTATTTATTATTTTATTTGAAATTAAGAATATTTTCTTTTCTAGATATTTTTTCCGGATTTAGAAATAAGCTTTTTTACTAAAACTAATACTACTTTTATTCCGGTCTTTACTATAACTAAAAATAATATATAAATTAATAGTATAACTTTATTTCCAAATACTAAAGCCTATTTCTAACTAAGATCTAACTTATATTATTTTAGTATAATATTTCTTTTTTTATTTCTTTTACTTCTTTTTCTTTTATAATTAGCTTTTATTTCTATTACTTTTATATATTATACTAATAATTATATCTTATAGCTAATTTGTATTTAAGTTACTATATATATCGGAAATTAATATAAGATATTAAGATTAATATTTATATATTTTTAATATTTTGGCCTTATATTTAAAATATTATAATAGCTCTTTTCTTTTTAAACTTACTAAGCTAATAATCCGCCTTATAAATACTTCTTAGAACTTTATAAAAGTAGTATTTTAATTATAAAGTTTCGATTCTCTCTATATTACTTATTATAAAATATATAAAAAGAAAACTATAATAAGACAAAAACCTATATAAAGTATACTAAAATATAAAATATAACTTAATAGCAAAATAATAAATTAAAAGTATAAATAATAAAGTATAAATAATATATAATATATAAAAGCTTAATTAATTAAAATACTCAAGAGGAATTATTTTCTAGAACTATAGAAAAACCAGCTTTCTTATATAATTTCCGCAAGTTATATATAAAAGGCCGCAGCCTTTACTATATAACTAAAACCTTAAAACCGCCAAAATAACATGATTTTTGGAGAGTACGGCCTACCATATTATACTATTCTTATAGTAATATTAAATGTAATAGTTTCTATTTATTAAAGATTTAGGGCTTTCTTTTAAGCTTTTAGCTATTTAGCTTTAACTTGAATCTCGCTCCAAACCAGGTATACGAGCTTGATTTCCTTGAATTATTGCCAGGTATCATAAGTAATAAGTAAACTTAGTACCGCTCTGGCGATTACTAATTAATAAGCAATCGTTTTATTATCCTTTTGGGACAAAATAAGGGCAGGAGCTTAATTAGGATCGACAAATTGCCATAGATCTTCGACTATAAAGAGGTTTATAGCATTGCCCATCCAGGAGTAGATGTTGTCGACCGAGAGAGGCTCGATTTTGGTACCTTTATAGGTAACATGGGTTGATTTTTTGGAATCCGGCATATTAGATTTTACAGAGAATTTCTAACCGAAAATGGCTGTGTTTTTGGCGAATTCTGCTGATGCGAAGCCGAACTAATGGGTGGAATTCACCAAAATTGACGATTTTAATGATTTTGGAAATGGTTTTGGAATGGACAAGTAAGTACTAAGGTCACGTGACGTTCGGATTACTTAGTAAAGCACTAGCCGGGCTCAGAACCTATTGGAAAGTAATCGATTTATTAATGGAAAATCGATATATTAAAGGTTAACAGACTGCAGATTGACTAGATATAGAAGAGTGAGTTGTAAAAACAGAGGAAAAGTGTCCAAAGTAAGGGATTTATTCCCATTACCCTTCGGCGATACCGGTAATGCCGAGCCCGCTTTCTCCGATATATTATCAATCAGCTAATAAATTAAAGGTAATCAAAATGACGATATACTAGTAAGCTTGGTAAGCTCGGCGAGTGACGCATGACAAATGAGAGTGGAGAACCCTAAATTAGTGGTTGAACCTGGTGCTGGAAGGACTGGTAAGCTAGCTATGGTAGCGTACCAATTTCAACAACCCCGGACTGCGACCCTGAGACGACCCTAGCCCGACCTTTCCCGCTTCCCGTATCCCGCTTCCCGAGTCCCGAGTCCCTTCCCGGTCCCTAACCTCCTACGCGCTTTTTCTTGTTTCCATTTCTCCCGTCGCTTTAGAACATACTTCTCATATGCTTTCATATATTCCTTTAGCCAAGCTACTGCAAGTTCATGGGGGTTAATGTCGATATTATGAAGCTCTTCTAGAGATTCTTTTTGCGCTTTTCTCAGCCCTTCCTGCGAATCGATGTTTGTGTCCTTGGCTTTAAGCATGATTGACAAGGCCAACCTAGCATTAGTCCTCCGAATCGACTCCTCAGATCTATCGGCCTCCTTCTGAAGGACCGTTATTATCTGGTCACCAATGGACGTTAAGAGAATAGGCGATGATTCTCCTGCAAGAGCTTTGTCTTCGATGCTGCGAGGACCTCGTAGAGTAGAGAAAATAAATGAGCCTAATCCAACAGGACTGTTCCTAGTCTTTTGGCTTCCACCTCTGACTTTCTGGGCATTCAACGTTTCGAGATCGACTGGATGGTCAGAGTCCGCTTCCACGCTGCGGTCGAAGTCCAAGAGGGATTCCTGACATATTTTAGGCTCTATTCTCTGCTGTTGGTGGCTGCGTGAAGATTTTCGTTATACTCACCATAATAACACTGTATATCCAAAGTGCTGTTCGCTCGACGGAGACATCACGCACTAATTTCAAGAACCCCACGATACCAATGACAAATGGTATCAGTTGACCGACTGACTGTATTGTGTAGACTTCGGTGATGTTGTTCCACCTAATCATCAGCTCGATTGCGAGGACTGACCAGACGAGAGAAATTAAGTTGAGGACCGTTAGAATATATAGAGATTTGTGATTGGAGAAATCCAAGTGTCCTAGCCATTCCCAAATATTCTTTATGAATTTTTTGAACTTCTTCCACGAGAAGAATTTGGACCATTTCGAGGGAGCACTGGGAGCACTGAGAGCACTGCGTGATGTCTGTAATTCGAGTGGTTCCGTTGACGTCAACTTGGGTCTGACTTCTGCAACGCTCTCAGTCTCGGAATCGGGAAGTGGAACTGCCATTGCGACTTGTAGATCGGTTTCTTGAAGAGACGGGGCTTTGGGTACGTCTGCTTCTGTCTCATCCTCATAGGTCTCCGCCTTGAAAGCTTGGGTTTCGGCGTTGTTGCCAGTCGCAGTTTGCATAGTTTGGCGATAGGATGCGTGATTACCTCCCACAGAGGGGGAAGACTGGTTCCGTGGCTCTTGATGAACTAAAGTAGGAGGTGGTGCTTTGGCGGTCTTCTTTTGACTGGTTCCGCAGATTCGGAACAAATTTATGACAGAATTAAAGAGATCCGAAATTCCACCTAGGGTGGCAGATCCGAGTGTCGCAAGGGAAAGAACGAGAATTGCATTTAAGACCAAGATGAGGAGCCATGACCGCGGTCTTTTCAATCCGACCTCGTAATCTCCGTTCACCATTATCCAGGGAATTCCGCCGAGGACGACAGGAGCATATCTGAGTATTGCTCTAACTGTATGCCGTTTCTTTGGTTTAGAGCCATGCGAATGTAGATCTTGATGGAAAGCGACCAAAGCAGCAATCGAGGCAGCCATGATACCATAGAATACCCAATTGAAGACGAACAATATGATTTCAGAGCAAGTAGCCATCCCATAAGTGATAGTAGTCAAAACTGCTGTGATTTGGAAGAAAACGCGAGCACCTTTCAATAAATTAACAGAAGCAAACAAGAAGCCCCGTGGTTGCAAGTTGGGTCGACGTTCAGCTTATCGATACCAGTGAACCAGAACCAGACATTGTATATGCATATTGCGGTAGCCAGGCAGATCCGAATCGTGGAGCCCAGTAGCGGGAGTTTGATACGCCCCCCGTAATTCGGCGGAGACGTGAATGTGGCTCGAACTCGCAATCCCCAAGTCGAAGAAACGGTGAACAAGAATCCAAAGCAAAGTTGAAGCAATATGACTACTTCAGCAGCACGAACAGTCTGGTTGGCGGTGATGATTGCTAGCGCAATGAACAGGGCCATTAGGAATATCGTGTTGGTAGCAAGCATATCTTGAACCGCGTCGGCGTGACGCAAGTTTGCGAGGAAAGCCGAGACCCATTGCAAGTATATACCGACCCGGATACCGAGGCCATAGAGATCTGAGTTGCCTGTGAAAGCGCAATGTGCATCCAACGATTGACGAGAAAGCAACGAAGCTGTAGTTCGAAGATCAAGTGGGGCGGCGTAGCAAATTGAAGCTAAGGTCATGCACATCAACAGACAGCTAGAACTTGTCATAATGATATAGCGAAACAGATTCGAAATCAAGGTGAAGAACATTTCGGAAGCTTGCTACCCAGGCTTTAGCTAGTAAGAGGTCATCGCTTTTATAGCTCGCAGCTGAGAGAAATACTGTAGCTGAGACCAAAAAGGCGGGCGCAGATGTGGGGGCGCAGGGCGCCTCTAATATGCAGTTGAGTCCCGATTTGGTATAGTTCCATGGCGACGAGGCGGCTTCGCAGTGCGCGGTGTGGCACGGATCCGCAGGCGGCCCACGTGCGCTGAGCCGAGAAGCGTAACAATCTCTCCTTATAACTTATATACTAAGATAAAAAGTATAATTATCTCTCTTTATAACTTAAAATAAGGATATATAAACTATTATTTTAGCTTTAATTAACTTTATTTAATTATTTATAAATATTTAAATCTAAAATAAAGTTTAAGCTTTTTATATAAAATAATAAAATTAATCTTAATAAAAAACTAAAAAATAGAGTAAATAATTAAATAATAATCTTATATCCGAAAACCGTAATTATAATATTAAGTAAGATATATATATAAACTTAAGTATTATTTTCTCTTTATTATATTAAAAAAAGGTTCTTTTTATATTATATTAAGTCTTTAGTTAACTAGTTATATATTTTATATATTAAAGTTCTATAAAATAATAATAAATTAGTTATTACTTAAATTACTTATATTATTATATATAATTAACTAGAAAATAATAAGTTAATTTATAAATACCTTATTTAAGATATTAAATATAATTTTTCTTTTTTAATAATAACTTATATATAAGAATTCTTTTATTAACTTAATTAAATAATTATATTTAATATCTTAATAAATAAATAATATATATAAACTAAATAATATATATAAACTAAATAAAATATATAAACTAAATAAAATATATAAACTAAATAAAATATATAAACTAAATAATATATAAAAACTAAATATATAAAAGTTATTATAATTACTTAAAATTACTTTATTTTTAAAAATAGTTTCTATTAAAATAACTTCTTTAATATTTAAAAAAAAAGTAAATAAATCTTAAAAAAAGAATAAATTATAAAAGCTTTTATATAATTTAAGAAATAAAAATAATAAAATAAATAAAGTTAATAAAATTATTTGAAAAATAATTATAATAATAAGAATAAGGGCTTTTATATATAATAACTTAATAAATAAATTTTTAAAAAGTAATAAAAAATACTATTTTAAATTATGACTTTTTTTAATAATAATTAAAATAAGAAATTATTAATAAATAATATTATATAATTAAATTTATTTAATTTCAGTATTTTAACTCTTAAAATAATAATTTAATTACTTTAAATTTAAGAATTAAATATTATTACTTTAATTATATAAATAATCTTAAATATAATATTTATTTCTTTAAGTTTAATATCTATTATATTAAATAAAATATATATATAAACTAATTACTACTTTTAAGGTTTATAAAGGTTATATTTTTTTATTATTTAATTATTTCCTTTTTTTATTTTTTCTTAATATTTCTTTATTTAATTATTTAGTCTTATTATATATTATTAACTTTTATTTACTTTAATTTATTTTAAATAACTTTTTTATTAGTTTTATTATAATTAAAAATAAACTTTTATTTACTTTAATTTATTTTAAATAACTTTTTTACTAGTTTTATTATAATTAAAAATAATAATATTATTTATTTAAAGTTAAAATTTCTTTAAATATAATACTTTTAAGTATTTATAATAAAGATTATTTTTCTTAAGTTAATTAAATTAATTAAAATATAAATATAAGTATTATTTCTAATTTCTTTTCTTATTATTATATTATTATAATCTTTATAATAATATTAATTTATTTTAATAATACCTTTATATATTATAATTTATAAAGTAATTAATAATAAATAATAAAGTAATAAATAAATTTGTAAAATATAAAGATTATATAATATTAGATTTATTATAGAACTAATCTTTATTTCTTTTTAGAAGTCTAAAGAAATCTTTTATAAATAGAAGATTTAGCTAATATATATACTAACTAAGAATTAATAAATATAAGAGTAATATAATAGAATTAGAAATTACTAATTTCTTTTTTCTAGAACCGAGATTCCTGAATTTATTATATATAATTAGTCTTATATAAGGCCCTATATATATTACAAGTATATTTCTCTTTATATATCTTAGTTTCTAAAATTCCTTAATTCGTTCTAGTTAAAAATATATTTAATTTAATTAAATTAAAAATTCTAGTATATTATAAAATAGTTCTTATAATATAATTCTATATTATGAATATTTATTATCTAATTAGAATAGTACTAAATAAGTAAAGAGAACTAGTATTTATAATATAATTATAAATACTAATTAGTAATTATAATTTTATTTTAAAGTTTAAATATTCTAATTAATCTAATAGAAAATACTAAAATACTATTCTATAAAATTAATACTATTTATTAAGCTATATATTAGAATATTTATATATAAAACCTATATAAATTATTTATAGATTTCTAGAGTTTATTTATAAATCTTTAGAAAAATATATAAATTATTTATATTATTTCTTAAATAGAATAATATAAAAACTAAATAGTTAATTTAAATAATTCTCCTCTTTTATAAAAGAACCTTTTTATAATACAAAAAGTTTCTTTTTTTTCTAATTAATAATAATAATAATATTAATATCTTTTTTAAACTTCTTTAATTATTTTCTTAATTAATTCTATAATATCTTTCTATTTAGTTTGGCCTTATTAGAAGTATAAAAGTAATCTTATAGTCTTCTTTTCTATTACTAGTAAGTATTTAAAATATTTATTTATTAATTCCTTTATTTTATATATAATTATTTCTAGTAAAAGGAATTATAATTATTATAATAAGAATTTTAAATCCTATATTTTAATAAGATTTCTAGCTCTAAAATAAGTTAAAACTAATATAATTCTAGATTTCTTATAGCTTTTTAGAGGCTTACTAGTTCTAGGAAAATACTATTATAATTTTTAAAATCTATTTTAAATAATATTATAAATAGTATTATACTAATAAAGAAAATCCTACTAATTAAGTTTTTAAAAACTAAAAGAAGTCTAATAAATTCTAAAACTCTTTTTTATATTTTAAAAATACTAAAAGTAATATAATTTAGATTAGTATTCTAAAAGTAAGTTTTCCTAATATATTTTAGATCTTATCTAATTTCTTAAAGAAATTCTATAATATTTATATCTAAGGTATTAATCTTATTATTATTATTTCTTCTAAGATTATTAAATAATTTATTTCTAGTATTTTAAAAGCTAAAAATATAATATTTATTACTATTCGAGATTTAATTACTAAAGTTTAGGCCTTTTATAAAGCTTATATAACTATTATAAATTCTTTAAAGTATTATTCTTATTTCTTTATATTAATATTATTATAATATAATTATATTTTAATAGAAAATAAACGGATTTTAGAAAGTGTTTCCTGCTTTTTTACTAAATTCTAAATAGAACTAGTATTTAATATTCTTATTTTTAGAAATAGGAATTTATAAAATTTAGAGTTTTACTAATTTAAAGTATTTATAACTAGATTATTTATAATAAATCTTTTTTATTTCTGAACTTTTTCTTTTTAAAATATAAATATAATTTCTAGTAAGCTTTAATAAAACCTTAAAAACCTTTATAAGTAAAAAAAATTAAGAAAAGAATATTTTAATTATTATTTTCGACCTTTTTTAATTTTCTAGGTCCTTTTTTTTTATAAAGAAAATAGCCTATTTTTCTATTTTAGGTTCTCAGAATCTTTTTTATTTTTAATAAAATATTAAAAGATAATTCTAAATTCTAAATTATAGTTCTAGTTATATAATATTAGAAGTTTCTTAGAATTTTTAAGCTTAGGAAAAATAGATACTTAGGTATTATAATTATCTAGCTAGGCTTTTTATTTAATTAGATATTATTACTCTTTATTTCTATTAACTCATTAGTAATTAATAATAGTTTCTATTTTTTATTTTTATTTTTATTTATTATTTACTAATTCCGGAAGTTTTCTAGAAAAATATAAACTAGATTTCTAATTCTATTTTATTATATATTTTTTAAAAAGAGAAATATAAAAAATTAGATATAAATAATTATATAAACTTAATAGTTTTAATTTATGTATTAACTCTCTAATATATTTAAGAATCTTAAACAGATTTATAAATTTTAATTTAAGTTTTCCTGTTTTAAATTTAATATTCTTAATTAATAATAATATTTAAGCTTTTTTAAAAAAGTATTTAGCTAATTTATATTTATTATAATAGATTTCTCGGTTATTTTATATATAATACTAAAGATTCTAAAGTCTTTTCTATTCTATTTATAGAATCTCTAGCCTTTTATAAATAGCTAGTATTTCTTTTATAATTCTATTTTTAGAATTCTATAAAAATTAAAAATAGTATTTATAATATATATAAAAGAATATATTTTATAAAATATAATATTTCGAGTTATTATATATAAATTCTATAAAGAATAATTTCTTAAATTAATTATTCTTTTTAGAATTATAATAATATTTCAAATAGTATTCTAGGGTCTAATTTTATTTTTTTATTTAGTTATTTAGTTATAAATAGAAAGCTATACTTAAATACTATTTATATATTAAATAGAAATAGAAAATAGACTAGAACTAGTTAGTAAATACTATTTCTTAATTAGAAATAATATTATTAAAAGAGCTAAAAATTAAGAAAATATATTTTTATATAATTCTAGTAAGCTTTAGAAAGTTAATTATTTTATAATATATAATATATTTTACTATTTTAGAATACTAGTTAATAATTATAAGAATTATATTAAAATTAAAACCTTTTATTAGGTTTTTATATAATAATAAACCTATAATAAAATCTATAGAATTTTTATTCTAGAACTTTTTAAATTATAATAAACTACTAAATAAACTATATAATAAATATCTTTTAGCCTTAATTTTCTAGTAAA